GTGGCACGCCTGTGACACGCCTGTGACACACCTGTGGCACAGGTGTGACACAGGTATGTGACACAGGTATGTGACACGCCTGTGGCACACCTGTGTCACACCCGTGGCACACCCGTGACACAGGTATGTGACACGCCTGTGGCACACCTGTGGCACACCTGTGGCACACCTGTGGCACACCTGTGGCACACCTGTGGCACAGGTAATGGGTTTCAGAGGGAAGCAGCGATGCGTTGTGTTCGAGCAGCAGCTGTGACGGAAACTTTAACTCTTTTGAAACATCTCACAGTCTCTCCACTGATTTCAGGTCAGTAACGGATGTGAAATAAACCAATCAGGCAAGTAACTGTAGCCCCGCCCCTTCCTCCTCCACCACTACCACCAACGCCACGCTGTGTGTTTTTTGTTTTTATGAATTTATTTTTAGGGGGGAAAAAACACTGCCAACACACCTGACACCTGTTGAACCAGCCAATCAGAGCGCAGAGTTTCAGCATTGAGTTTATCATGAGCTCAGGATTAGTGCAGCTGTCGGCGCCCCCTGGTGGGCGCCCCCCTCTGGTTCACGTGGGGATAAAAAACTGTCAGTTTGACATAAAAACGTTATTGTTCACGAGCAGCGTCCTTCCTTCAGTCACAGTAAATAAGAACATTTATTAATAATTATTAAATATTTTCACTCAGCTTCAGCTTCAAGTCGTTCTTGGACCTCGGGGGCTCCTGTAGTTCAGCTGACGGCTGGTTCGAGCTGCTCTGTAATGCGTTGGTGTGTCGGCGTGTTGCGCTTTCGGCTGGTTTTATTTAAGTTTGGCTGCAGACCCCACCTCCCCACACCACCTCCCCCTCCTCCTGTAAACCACCACAGCTTCTAGTTCACCCTTTCAAAATAAAGCGAGTCGTCAGCAGGCTCAGGAGACGGCGTTGGACTTGAAAAGCTTCGATTTCACATCTTTGTTTTTTCGCTGGTTTAAGCTTTTTTGGGCTGCTGTTTATATTTTCGGCTGCTGCCCTCAAACTTCCTGTGGTTGTTTTTGTTTTCACCGTTGGGTCAAAACCACATTTTTATTAAACTGAACTGTTTTTAGATTTTGTGTGAGCTGGTCTTTTTTTTCAACCTTTAAATCGTTTAATGTTGCGTTAAGAGGCCAAATCGACCTTTTAAATCTGCATCATTTTATTTGAACGTGTCCGATTAAAGATCTTTTCTCTCTTTGTAGAAAACTTTGTATGAACATGTTTCACTGATAAATCTGTGAAATGTTTTAATCAAAGCCTGATTTGGATTCAGGTGATTTCAGGAGCTCAGGGTCTTTTTTATTAAAAACAAATCTTCTCTGATCTTTTTTCTTTAGTTGTTTCGTATCCTTCATCTCGTTTAATCAGGATTTTAAATAAAGTTTCATTAGAGTTTCTTGG